TTTCCTCTTTGTTGTCTTGTGTTTAAGTTATTCAGTTGGACTTTGTTTCTATGTTGTTTAGTTAGAACTTAGAAGGTATATGAAACAATTATGCAACAAAGCAAGGAGCACTGTGTTGTGAAATAATAGAGTATTTTGTGGAATAGAATGTATAGTTGTGGACAATAGATAGAGTTCACATCAAGATGTTTTTGGAATGTACAGGTAAAAATGTTATTTCTTTGCTATGACAAGTTGGAATTTTCGTCCTTTATCCACATCAGTATTGCATAATTGAGCTGAATCACTCAGATTGTTTGGGCAAATTCTATCCTACGGTTGGATCACACTCACTCACACACATACCCATATAGGTGTTGATCAACGGTAAAAGACCATTATCTTTTCTCTTAAAACTCAAATTACCATTGGCATTTCCATATTTTGTAACTACCTGCATATAATCCTTCTCAAGTTCGCACTTCTGTCTTGCAACAAAAAAAGGTAACTATCAGCTGGCTATTCGTGATTCCGAAGGATAATTTTCATATTTTTCTTGTAATTTAGTTAAAACTTCAGAGATTACTCTGTAATTTATTTGAAAATTCTCATGTGATCATGCTTCAGTTTTGATTGTGTTATCTAAAGCAAGCACACACACATTTGCAGGGTCTTGGCTTATTGTCTCTATCAGCTGCCTTTCATACATTCAACTCTTCCAACTGCAAAAACGATGCAAATAACAACAATATGTCATGTTCGCCACCTTCACTCGAAGTCATAATCTTCTTTCTATCTTTATACTTGATAGCACTTGCGCAGAGTGGCCACAAGCCCTGCGTGCAAGCTTTCGGGGCCGATCAATTTGACGAGGACGATGTGAATGAGCTCAAATCAAAGAGCTCGTTTTTCAACTGGTGGTATTTCTCGATGAATGGGGGAATTTTAGTAGCCATTTTGGTTCTGAGCTATGTTCAAGATAACCTAAGTTGGGAGCTAGGCTTCGGAATCCCTTGCATTGCCATGTGTTTTGCACTATGCATTTTCTTGTTGGGTACCCCGACCTACCGATTTCGGGTAAACAGCACTGGAAAGAATCCGTTTGTGAGGATCGGTTGGGTTTTCGTAAAAGCGGCTAGAAATCGAAGGTTCGAACCGGAAATAAAATCTATCGAGGAGGAAGCTCGTGAGAGCACTAAATTTAAGTAAGTTTCTTTAAACACCTGTTTCTAAATGCCAGTTCGCGTTGGTGTTTTTGCGCATAAGGGTTCGAAGTTCGAACTAATTTGTTTGGTGTGTAATGTAACATGAAGAAGTTGGCATTTGAAAACATTTGACTTACGGAACACTTGCTAAGGCTATGTTTGATAAACCTAACTCATAAGCTAGCTTAATTTCGCGCTGATAGCTGATAGCTCATGATTCATGCTTATATATTAAAAGTGTTTGGTAAAAATAGCTGATAAACTAGCTAAAATAAAAATTACAATGTGCTTATTTGAAAAGCTACTCAAGGAAGCTTATGAGATAAGCCAAAAAGCTCGTCCTACCAAACCTAGTTTATTTGAATACATGAAGCTTATAAGCTAGCTTATATGCTTACCAAACACAACCTATCCATATTATTTTTTTTAAAAAAAATTTATTATCTTATCTTATTTGTTTGTTACAGGTTTCTTGATAAAGCAATTCTTTTACCTAACACTCCAGACGAACAAGAGCACACCGTAACCTTAGCCGATATCGATGATGCGAAAACAATTCTTCAACTTGTCCCGATATGGTCGGCTTGTTTGGGATTTGCCGTCATCTTTTCACAAGTCTCGACTCTCTTCACCAAACAAGGCGCCACAATGGACCGCCACATCATCACCGGAACAACTTTCCAAATCCCAGCCGCCTCACTCCAATCTCTCATCTCCATATCCATCATGCTCTTCGTACCAATCTACGACCGCATTTTGGTCCCAACCGCACAATCCCTGACCAAAAACCCCTCGGGCATAACCATGCTCCAACGGATAGGCACAGGGGTATTCTTGTCTTTTACCACCATGGTCACCGCAGCTCTCGTCGAGCACAAACGCCTCACGACAGCTGTCGAGCACGGGTTGGTCGACAAGCCCGAGTCAACGGTGCCGATGAGCGTGTTGTGGTTGGCCCCACAATACTTACTGTTTGGCCTTGCCGAGGTTTTTACCATGGTTGGCCTTCAGGAGTTTTTTTACGATCAGGTGCCCGTTGATCTGAAAAGCATCGGGCTCTCGTTGTACCTTAGTATATTCGGGACGGGAGGGTTTTTGAGTAGCTTCTTGATATCGGTTATCGAGAAGGTGACAGGTGGCCATGGGGACTTCGGATGGTTCGCGAACAACCTGAATCGAGGGCATCTCGATTATTTTTATTGGCTGTTGTCGGGTCTAAGCGCGTTAACAATGGTGGGTTTTGTCTATTTTTCGAGATGTTATGTGTATAGAAGGAAAAGATGTTCGGCCTTGTTTGTTTAATGGCTTTTTGCCATAATTCAGCGTTTTGTAGCTTTAGCTTATTTGACTTTTTTTTATTCAACAAAAAATCATGTTTGATAATTAGCTTTTTCAATCAGCTTTTTGGTACTATCCGTTAAAAATGAAAACGCTGGCAAATGGAGCGTTTTGAATTGGCTTGTGAGGAAAAAAAATTAAAGTCATGATTGCCCTCTCTTATCTTCTCCAATTAATCATTCCAATTTTTTCACCTCTCACCTGCCTCTACTTGTCGGTCGCCAAGTCCCAAGCTCTTCGACTCCAAATTGGCGTTGCCCTAAGGCCCTGCCTTTTGTGCTCCCACTTCCAGCCACTCAGTCGCCAACCACTCTGCAAAAGCCGCCACCAGCATCTCCGTTTTATTATATTTAATCAATGTAATAAATATTTAAAATACTAATTATTTCTATTTCTTAAATAATTATAAGTTCAACATAAATTAAAATGATAAAGTATGTTGATGTCCTTATAAGTAATTTTACATAATAACAGCTAATTGAAATAGCTAATTTTATCAAACATTTTTTTACAAACCGCTAATACAATCAGCTGGTCAAAACAATTAGTACATCTCGCTAGTCAAAACAGCTAATGCAATCCGCTAACAGCTAACAACTTATTACCAAACAAGGCCGAAGTCTTTTGAGCTTGAGATATACACAAAGACACTAATGAACATAACTAAAACTTCCAATGTAGCAATTACTGCTTAATCAAGTGATGACTTGTGTAATATTCACTGGAAAAGACTTGCATGAACTTTGGTTGTATTATGTTATAGATTGCTAATCTGGATTAATATATAATGTCAAAAATATGAGAAAAACCAAATGAGCTTGTTCTTAAAATAATAATAATAATAATAATAAATAATTGTAAAAAATTGGTCATGTCACATCTTCTAACAAAACCAAACAGATATCTGCACACACTTTAAACCATCCAAGAAAGCACCTCACATGCTCAGACTGTCCCATACCTCTCTATTATAAGCAATTATTCAGGGCACAATCTGATCTTAGGACGTCAATCTGTCACCCACTACATAATACATAATTCAATGAGTTACTCAAAACCAAAACCATAAAAGTTTTCTAACTAGCATTGTGTATCAATTTAGACTTTGATTGGACCTATATACATTGTATATTGATTCTTATAGCTTTGCTATGCTTTTTACTTGAAATGTTGATTCCACTGTCAAAGAAAGTGAATTTTTCAAAGTATATATCTTTAACTTTTGAATGTTAAATCAAATTTTTTCCTTTAATTGTATCGAATGTCAAAGTACACTGATTAGATGGACTTTTTCAACACGGCGAGTCTAATTTGATATTTTTTTTTTCAATTTTGTAACATCATCTCTATTATGTGAAAATTTCGTACTTACCCTTACGGGGCGAGTCTAATTTGATATTTTTTTTCAATTTTGTAACATCATCTATTATTTGAAAATTTCGTACTTACCCTTATGGGTAGTACATTCATGAGCTTTTTATGCGAAATTCAAGGGCTAAAAAGCCCATGAATGAATTCAATCACATCAATTACATTTATAACCATTGCCATAAGGCACACAAATGCCCAAATTGTACAATGTCTTTCCCTCCAAATCTTGGCATCACAAGTTCTTTCATCATTGACCCAAATTCCTCTCTACTCTTCCAAGAACTTCCATCCCTTGTTGATTCCCTTTCACCATTCTCTAGATACAAAATGAACAATGGATACTCGAGAATCGAGAAAAGGCCGCAGCCTGGCTCGACAAGATCAAAATCAGTAGACTTTACTGATTGGTCTATCCCACATCACGAACCAAGATCATCCACCCCGAATTTCTCAACAAGTTCGAAACTTGAATCTAAAGAAATCGCCAAACCAAATGGCACACTGAAGATGAAGACCGTGAGCGAAGTCGAGGAGAGTCCTGGGGAGGTTTTCGGGACTATTCTTGGCCGAAAACGCCAAATCTCCTCTGGAAAACCTGGGGAGATTTTCGGGACTATACTTGGTCAAAAATGCCGAATCTCCTCTGCAAAATCTGATCAGGCAGTCCCGGATGATCGTCAAGTCGAGAAGAAATCGCTTCCTGTTTGGCGGTCTGAATCGGTGTCCGAAGGTCATTCAAGAATCCACCATCTGTGTGGTTCAAACGCCGAATTACACGATGAGGATGAATGTGGGAGTGAGCTTATTACTAACAGAAGATGTGTGAAGAAGAAAGGCAAGTTCTTGGGGACTTTTAGGAGGTTTTTTGGGTTCTAAACTTTTTTTTTTTTTCCCAGAAATTTGTACTCTGGCTGCATGAAAGGGTTCCCACAGTTATTTCTGATCCACACCTCTCAGATGCTTATTTATTTATTTATTTTCAGAAATTTACACATATTTCCACATAATAAGTTTATAGAATTCACTTTTTTGAGCTGCATCTTTGTGGATCAAACCTCTAGGAATATCAGTAGCCCAAGCATTAAAGGGGGGAAAAAGTAATTATTTACAACTTTATTCTTCATAACTCACACTTGTGTACATTATATGCAACTTCCACAAGAACAAAAAGGTACAAACTCTCAAGATGATGGAGAACAGGCGAAGCGATGCAGAACTCATTGGCTTCTCATAAGCTACAATGAAACACAAGTACAAACCGAGAAATTGGTAATAAAAAGTGAAAACCTATTTATGTTCTTACATCCTAGTTACACTGTGTGTTCAGCTACTCTCGGTAAAATCTGCATCGATCACTTCCCCATCTCCATCTGACGATTTACCAGTCGAGCCACTTTCCTTAGCGGGCCCACCAGCTGGTTCGGGCCCTGAGGCAGCAGTTCCTGGCTGACCGTACAATGACTGCCCGATCTGCATGACTTCAACATTCAATGCAGCCATAGCATCCTTAATGGCTTGTGTGGAGCCATTAGAGAGAGAATCCTTAAGCTCCTTCAATTTATTTTCCACTTTCTCTTTTACAGCTGCTGGTATTTTCTCTCCAAGTTCTTTCACTTGCTTTTCGGTTTGGTACACTAAAGATTCGGCCTGGTTTTTCGTGTCGATTGCTTCTCGTTTCTCTTTATCCTCCTTTGCGAATCTTTCAGCATCCTTAACCATTCTATCCACCTGTACAAATTTCAATTTCCAACTTAAATAATCTTTCTTAAAAAAAAAAATAAAAAAAAAGAAAAATTTACCTCATCCTTGGGTAACGTGCTAGCTCCGGTTATGGTAATATCCTGCTTTTTCCCTGTTCCTTTATCAATGGCCGTGACCGAGAGGATTCCATTAGCATCTATGTCGAATTTCACCTCGATTTGCGGGACCCCACGTGGAGCTGGAGGGATCCCATCTAACCGAAAGCTTCCTAAGGATTTGTTATCCCTCACGAATTCGCGTTCGCCTTGCAGCACATTTATCTCGACACTCGTTTGGCCATCGGCAGCTGTGGAGAAAACCTCCGATTTTGAAGTCGGTAAAGTGGTATTTCTCGGGATAATTTTCGTCATTACGCCACCGAGCGTCTCTAAGCCGAGTGATAGTGGGGTCACGTCGAGGAGCACGATATCGCTGACATCACCAGCCAAAACACCAGCCTAAAAAAGAATATAATCTTAGGCTATGTTTGGTAAAATTAGCTGATAAGCTAATAGCTTATAAGTGATTTTTTAGCTTTATAGCATATGAGCTAAAAAACTAAGATAAAAGTGTGTGGTCAAATTAGCAAATTGTTAAAATAAAAATTTCAACGAGCTTATTTGAAAAGGTATTCAAAACAAGCTTTGTAAAAAAAAGTCGTCTTACCAAACGAAATGAAGCTTATTTGAATACATAGAGCTTATAAGCTAGCTTATTTGGTTACCAAACTGTCATCAAATTCTTTGAGTTGCGATTTCATAGCACTAATAAACTATTAAAAAAATAAAGGAATTTAAAATTCAGAAACTCGTTCCTACCTGAACGGCGGCTCCAAGAGCAACAACCTCGTCTGGATTAACAGTGACATTAGGTTCTTTCCCAGTCATCTTCTTAACAAGACCCTGAACGGCAGGTATTCGGGTCGAGCCTCCAACAAGAATTACTTCATCTATGTTCTTTATCGAGAGGTTTGCATCTCTCAAGGCATTCTCAACAGGAGTTTTCAGCCTGCAGAAGATGAATGCAAGACAAAAATCACACAGGACCGAAAGAATTATCTTAATCCTATTGTGGTAATTCAAAAATGTATTAGTTCCAGAAGTTTGAACATATTTTAGTAGTTAACTCTCACCTGTCTAGTAAGTCAGAGCATAAGTCTTCGAATTTAGCCCTTGTTAAGGTTGTATCTATGTGTTTTGGACCAGTTGCAGTGGCAGTGATAAAGGGCAAACTGCAAGGCAACAAAACCACTCAGTAAAAAACAAGCGAACCGTAAAAAAAATGTGTAAAACTATAATTTACAAACAACACACCTTATGTTGGTTTGAGTTAAAGAAGATAATTCTATTTTCGCCTTCTCGGCAGTTTCAGTTAGACGCTGGAGGGCCTGTTTGTCTTTCAGGAGATCGATGCCTTCGTCTTTTCTGAAATTATCGGCAAGCCAGTCGACTATTCTCTGTTTTCACATGATAAAGCACGCATTAATATAATCATAACTACAGATTGAGACATTAAGTCGAGACGAACCATTTGGATAGCTTTCACATACTTTGTCAAAATCATCACCTCCGAGATGTGTGTCCCCTGAAGTGGAAAGCACCTCAAAAACACCATCTCCAACCTCAAGAACTGCAAATATTTATCAACGCTAGTTTAGCACAAGACAACATTTTTTCGGAAGTTTAAGAAATCAAGAGAAAGAGCCAGCACTTAGGTGTGATTAAATATGAATTTGATTGGTTTTTAATTTTTAAAAAGTAATATTGTTCGATGTTAATGGAAATTTAAGTTAACTAAAATAATATTTAAAATAAAATAATTAAAGCTGATATGATATAAAAATAGGAGAGAGATTATGTGAAATGATGGTTTGTTAAAATTATGTAAGTGGATAAATAGTGAATTAAAGTTGATGTAACGTGTAAGAATGATTGGTTGATATTATTTAATTATATTGATAATATTAATGATAGTGAGCTGAAGTAAAATTGAGTTAAATTTGAGTTATGATCGTTTTTTTTTTTATTGAATTTAAACCCAATCACACCCGAGCCTAGCAAAAGAATCATAATACGCGAATAAATGAAATATCCGAACTACTGATTGCAAGGGTAAACGACTATGGTTTTCAAAGAAGGCTTATTATAGCAGATGGTGCTCAAAGGTAAAGATGAAGTCAACCAACAAGGGATTGGTACCTGAAACATCGAATGTACCACCTCCAAGATCAAACACGAGAATTGTTTCATTATTTTTCTTTTCAAAACCATAAGCCAAAGAAGCAGCTGTAGGTTCATTGATTATACGGAGGACTTCCAATCCAGCGATTCGGCCAGCATCTTTTGTTGCGGTCCTTTGGGAGTCATTGAAATAGGCCGGTACAGTTATAACTGCTTTAGTGACCTTATCGTTTAAAAACTTCGAGGCATCGTCAACCAACTTTCTCAAGACCTGAGAAGAGAAAGTTTTGAACTTCTGAATCAGACTGTTTTCATGACCAAGCAGAAGTTGCTCGGGCCAAACTTGCCCATGTCTAGTGTTAGTCTTTAATATGCATCTAAATTACAAGTTCATCCTTCGACCAAGCTGTAAATTACTAAATTATGAAAGTTTTACCTCCAAGATTACATCTTTTCCTTCTCAATCATATTCACGAAAATAGTGTTCTTCGTAAAATCACAATATAATCAAAAAAACAAGCAGAAGAACACAATCCATCACTACTATTTACAATCCATCAAAGCCTCATCAATCGAACACTCGCAAACAATCACCACAAAACACATGAACTCAAGCATCCCATGATCGCAAGATCAATAAAGCAACATAAGCACTTAAACTCAACTCTCATTAAATAAATAAATAAAAAACTTACCTGAGCTGAAATCTCTTCAGGAGCAAACAATTTACCAGTAGCAGGACACTCCAATTTCACATTCCCATTCTCATCTTTCACAACCCTATACGAAACCTGCTTAGACTCCTCATCTACCTCGTTCATCTTCCTCCCAATAAACCTCTTCACCGAGAAAAACGTGTTCTCAGGGTTCACCACCGCCTGCCGCTTCGCGATCTGCCCCACCAGCCTGTCCCCAGCCTTGGTGTACGCCACCACCGACGGCGTAGTCCGCTGACCCTCGGCGTTGGTCACGATCGTCGGCTGGCCGCCTTCCATCGCCGCCACGGCGGAGTTGGTGGTGCCGAGATCGATCCCCACCACCTTCTCGCTTACGACCCTGAGGGGCCTGTACCGGCTGCGCCTCGAAAACCGGAGCCCGTTGCCTTTTCCTGCGCGGAACGAAACAAAAGGCGCCGTCTTGCCGGCTTTCATACCCAGAAAAGGGGTTTTGTTGCCTGCCTGAGAAAATGGACAGTTGAGCTGAGCCGCTGTAGCCATGGGAACTGTAAAAATTTGTGTAGTTTTATGTGTCGTTTTTTGGGCAAGAAATAGAGTAGAGGATCTCTTTTATATAGCCATGGGATCTCTTCTAGAGAAGTCTAGAGTTGGGAGTGCCAAGAAAAAAGACGAGTCTTTTTCTGTAGCTGTGGATGAATGAGAAGTGGGGAGGACATTTTTCATTGTTTTGCGGAAAATCGAGCAGCTTCTCGTACAGTGAAGCAGAATCTGGAGACGGTGTGGCTTTTATGTTATTACATTTTGCCCCTTGACCTTTTTGTTTCCTACAATGCTGCTGTTGTTCTTTGGGATAATTTCACATTTGCATGCAAATC